TCCAAACTAATAGAATTGCTATCATTTTTTTCTGTTGTTCCAATTTTACATAGCACATTTTTAAAATGTAATTTGAAGGAAAATGAAAAGAATTTAGAAGACTTAATTTTGCCACAAAACAACTTTTAGTTTTAATCAGTTAAAGAAATGTTTCACCTTCCCTTTGAAGATTTCTCTCTACTAAAACATAAACACCCCTTTTATCCCTAATGTTTGCCTTCCATGTGAGGTATATAAAATTATTTTTTACAGCTTCGGTCTACCTTGTCACTGAGGGCAAGACGAATTCAAAGTTGGATGCAAGAGTAAGGAGACTTGTAATTCTTGTTTTGGGAAGAAAAAGTGACCACAGCTTTTCATCTTCACTAATTTATGGTCTGACAAGCCAAGCAAAGTCAGAGCTCCTGCTCTCCTCAAAGAATCTCAAGGAACACTAGCTCCTGCCAGGACTGTAAGTTATTGTCATTTCCCTTACTGTAGAGAGCCAGCTGGGAAGAAAATCCTCTCTGACCAATTTGTATGCTTTAAGAACAATGAGGTAGATATATTTTTACCTTGGCTAAATGGCACATTTTTTCTTAAATATATAATGATGAAAAATAAGCAAAGAGGTCATCTGTTCAAAATGCAGATAAAACCGGCTAAGTCATTACCACCCATATTTTGGAGCACTGTAATTACAGGTAATATTTTATTTTCCTTGCTTTAGTTGGTTGTGGGGGGGGGGGAGTGTTTCTTCCTGAAATTTCTACAACGAACACGTACTGCTTACAAGAATAAAAACAAGTGCTTTCACTAACACTGAACGAGTGTTCAAAGTCTTCCTGAGTAAAGAATTTGACTTATAAATGATTTCTAGCACCGCTTCTGCAAGCCTGGTAATAACCACACCCCCAGTACAAACACTGATGTCATCAATGCAGCTCTGCCTTACTGACTGGTCCAGCCTACTATAGCAACAGGGCACTCCAAAGCTTTCCACTGGATGCTGAACACACCTTATGGCTTAGCCACAGTCCACAGAAGAGGATGGGCTACACAACTCAAAAGAAAGACAAGGCAGAGAGACTGGGACTCTTGATTCTAATTTCAGCCATTAAGTAATTTTAGCCCCATTGGTAAGTTATTTAATATCTATTTCTTGTTCCCTCTTTTTATCTTACTTATTAAAAAATGGAAATAGATAATGAATGATTTCTAAAATATTATGGAGGGAGGCAGCAGGAATAGAGAGCCAATCATGACAAGATATGGGGTGGTAGTTGCTATACTCACTTATATAGCATGAGACTTTTGACCTCCCCTGGCTACTACAGGGTTGAATCAATGGTCATCTCAAATGACCTGGTGGCTTTGGCTCAGGGAAGAGGAGAGAGAAAGGACAAATATGACAATAGCTGGAGTCACATTTATGTCACTGGCATTTGGGGGGAAATTTTTTTAAAACTTCAAAATAAAATACAAAAGCAAGTAAGTGTTTTTTACTAACATAATTTTTATCCATCTGCCTGAAAGTGAGATTCTTAGGGCATTATATCTTTTTGTCATGTTCTATATAGCTGGCAAAATTTCCAGCTGTATAAAGAAATTTCAGAGTACATAAATATAGGTAGGGTTTATCTATGCAAAATATATAAAATATAGAATAAATAATATAGAAACATAAAATAAATCCCATTTAAAAATGGAATGAAACCTATGGATCACCTTGTCTGTCTTTGCTACATAAAAGAATGTACTCTTTCTCTTATTATCTATTATATATTATGAACATTATAGATTATGACTACTCAACAACCACTTCCTTAATCCCCTACTTCATAACAGGAAATGTATATACAAGTCTCCCAGGAGGCATCCATGAGTAACACAGGGTTTCAGTTCTGAGAAGTCACTGCATTATTGGACAATTTGAGTTAACAAGACAGATTAAGTTGGATTTGGAAATAAGTAAGAAGAGATAATATCTAATACAATGTAAATTTTAGAAAGAAGAGAAACGACAGTACAGACCCCCATTTCCGAAGCCATGTTCTATGTGTGTTAACAGAAGAGGGAAAGGTTCCCAAGGTCTTACAAGTTTGGATTAATTTTCACCACCCTTTTCGAGATTCAAAAGCACATGAAAATGGTAACTGCTATAAGAACTCATACAGTAACAGGACACCTAATGAACTCTATTTACTAGTAAAAGGTCTAGAAATAACTGCTGTAAGATCCAAAAAAAAAAAATCCACATAATTCAGGATAAGCAGTAGAGCTGATAAACAGAACTACAGGCTCAACTGAGTTTAGAATCATCAATAAGCATGAGCCAACTGAAAGGATTCTGTGATTTTTCTCCAGGAGCTGAAGACTACCTGGACATGTATGGCTGAAAGGCTGGAGATACCACATCATCGATATCCCTCATCCACTGTGAAAGAACCAAGTATTTAATGGAAAAGGTAAACATCGTTGAAAGTCAACCTTCTTATAATGCAAGACAAAAGAAAATACACCAATGCTGTTGTTATTTGCAGCACAGTCAAAACTTCACCTGGCATACTATCAACCAGAAATATCTATTAATATTTGATTAAACAGAATACCACACACTCTTGACTCACATGGTTGAGAAAATGTTGACAATATTTTATATCCAAATCCTTGAAACTTGAGTGGCAAAGCTCAAATTCCCTTTGCGGGAGGACCTGAAAGAGTCTAACATGAAAATACTGCATTGGAGTTTATTCTGTAACACAACAGAGATCCATAGCTATACGCAAAAAAGACTCTTAAGATCTGGTGGCACTTAGAAGTACCTAGAGCAGTGCCTGACACATGAATACTTATTGAGTGAATGAATAAATAAAAATGTAAAGTTTTTATTTAATACGAGGTTAAATGAAATCTGAATACTCTACCAGAGAGTTCTATTGTGAGAAGATGCAAGATAGCAAAGTCTGAAAGCAAATGATCTATGTATCTTTCCCAGGATGCATATATGAAAGAGTTGTGACTAAGAACTAAACTCTTATTGTAGATAATATCCCTGATTAAAGGGTGACTTTTGCAAAACCCTCACAAAAATTCCACCAATACTATACACTATACTACTATACACAAATAGAAATGTGTTTTTACTTACTCCTTCTGAAAGCAAAGCATCTATAATATAAAGGAACAGATATATTCCATTTTATTAGTCCAAAAAGAGCATGTTTGTTGGATATTGATAATAACATTATTTAAAAAATCAGAAAAAAAAGTCAGCTACTGGTCCAGGGATCTAACTACAATTTTCCTTTCAATATCAAATAACTGTTAAATAAAGCTGTTTATCAACAATGATTATCTTATGTTGCTAAACTTTAGGATTTAAAATAAATTTTACAACAGATAACTATGAATCACTGCCAAATTTTTGACTTGTTTCTTTTTAACAAGAAATGTAAACTCAAATGGTTTCAAATGTGAAAGAATACTAATTAAGTAGCAATTATGTACATAGTGGCTTAGGCTTCAGAATCAAAATATGTGTCTGAGGAATGGTAGTATAAATGGAATGAGAATTGACCTGGGAAAGAGACTTGAGTTTTAATCCCAGCTCTGCTACTAATTAGCTGTTTACCTGGAGTCTTTGGCCTTTTTTTTTTTTTTTTTTTTTTTTTTGAGAGGAAATCTTGCTGTCGCCCAGGCTGAAGTACAGTGGCGTGATCTCGGCTCACTGTAGCCTCTGCCTCACGGGTTCAATCAATTCTCCTGCCTCAGCCTCCCGAGTAGCTGGGACCACAACTGTCCGCCGCCACACCCGGCTAATTTTTGTAGTTTTAGTAGAGACGGGGTTTCTCCATGTTGGCCAGGCTGGTCTCGAACTCCTGACCTCAAGTAATCCACCTGCCTCAGCCTCCCAAAGTGCTGGGATTACAGGCATGAGCCACAGCGCCCAGCCTGGCCTCATTTGTATACCTGCAAAAGAAAGCTGAAGGACTAGATCAGTGGTCTCTTACCTTCTTTTTCAGAAGGTTGGGAGGGAGCATAGATCACTAGAGAATCTGAAAAAGGGGCCAAATATGCACAAAATTATGCAGAGTATTTCAAAGTTTAGGATCTCTGTTATCTACTCATTTATTTAGGTTAAGGGCATTCTTGTAGATCTCCCCATATATCCTCAAACTCTAAAATTTTTAGATTCTAAGTAAGTCAAAAGCAGCCAAAATATATATACTCATAGTCAAAATGCATGATGAAAACCTAGACTTTTGCCTCAAGTTATTTTTCTCTTTGGTTTATAATAAAGACTTTTGAGGATGCTTTTTAAGAATTTTATTGTATTCTTGTTTATTTGGTGTATTTCAAATGTTTATTTGGTATATTTCAAGTCATTTAGAGGTAACTAGAATACTTATCCAAGCACCTACATGCTCAGAGGCAAATATATGTATCCAACCTCAAAAAGACTGTATTATTATCCATTCTTGAGAATAGATGATGATTTAAATACAGTCCACATAATATGGGGCATCAAATGATAAAACAAGACTAATTCTAGAAGAGATTCTCGATGGGAATTAAAGAGGGGGGAAATTTGAGAAATAACTGGCATAATGTATGATTCAATGACTGATTATTGCCCTATTTCATCATAAAACTAAAATAACATACAGATTAAATGCAGACAAAAACACAAGTACTTCGGTATTGTCAGATACTAGTCAAAAGACATATGGGGCTGACTGCAGTGGCTCACGCCTGTAATCCCAGCACTTTGGAAGGCCGAGGCTGGTGGATAACCTGAGGTCAGAAGTTCAAGACCAGCTTGGCCAACATGGTGAAACCCCATCTCTACTGAAAATACAAAAACTTGGCCAGGCATGGAGGTGGACGCCTGTAATCCCAGCTACTCAGGAGGCTGAGGCAGGAGAATCGCTTGAACCTGGGAGGCTGAGGTTGCAGTGAGCCGAGATCACACCACTGCACTCCAGCCTGGGCAACAAGAGTGAAATTCTGTCTCAAAAAAAAAAAAAAAAAAAAAAAAGATAAAAAAGATATAGGGGCCACTTATTTAGTCACAATTGTTATGTTTACAAAGGATACTCTACTTGCCTAAAATATAAATATATTGGATATATAATCAAGGAAAATTCCTCAATAAAAACAAAAACAACAAAATGAAAATGGCCTGAGAACTGAACTATATGGCTAGTTTTCAGGCTCCAGAATTTTGAGGAAAAAGGAAATGGCCATACATGTATAAATTGAACACATTAGCTCATCAACTGTTTCATAATAATTCAAACTAATTTCTTTGGCACAGTACAAACCCTGCTACTTGAGGTTAAAATTGCTTCTTTTGTCTAAGGTAGCCAGAAATTGGAAAAGGTTTAATCTTCAACAGAAATTTATTTCCCTGCTTCAGAAACCTATAAATGTTAGTACTGTAAAATATGATAGAAGAAAAGATACAATAAATGACAGCTACAGCTCTGTCTTACTACTGGTCTAACTGGTTCTCTTTCACTTCTCTCTCCTCCTAACATTTATTCTTTCAAATTCTTTCCACACTTTCAACCTCTACTGAATACATTTGTACCCTGCCTCTTTCCCTTATCCTTTACTCTGCTATCAAAGTTACCTTTGTATACATATGCACAGCAGGAGAAATTCATCTGAAAGGCTAAGACAATCGTTTCTTGTGGCAGCTGTATTCCCCAGCAACTGTAAACTCTACCTGGAACATTTATAAACTAGCTGGGGACATCTGCAGTTACTCTAAGAATAAAGTTTTTGTTTTCTTTTTTTTCCTTGGGGGGGCAGTTCTGCCAGTCTGTTAGGAGGACAAGTCTACATTTACATATTTTTTTACATATCAAAATTCAGCATTTTGTTAACCAAGAAAGTAAAAAATCTAGCCAGATTAGAGAAGTATTAGCCTTAAAATATTATCTTAAAAACTAAGAAATTCCACTTAATTCCCTTTGATGATTCTCCTAAAACAAATTTTGTTTCTGATTTTTTCTAAATAAATATATGAAAATTATATTCACCTTCTGTTTCAGAAGGCCTCCAATATATAAAGTCTTTCTCTGAAACTGAACTCTCCTGGTATAACAATGACAGCCCTATAATGATACAATTTTAAGGGAGAAAAAATCAGAAATGAAAGAGATTGATACCTTAAGGGAAGACTATGCTGGCAGATTAATCAGATTAAATGAGGTTCCAATTTTCAAGAGTGTGCCTTTACAGACAGTAGTACTAAATAGGCAAAACCTTCAGCTCTCAATAATTCTAAAGAATAAAAGGTTCCGCCTGAATAACTGAGGGAAGGTTTATTCTTGAAACCAGTATTTTCATTTTACCAGGTGATGAAAGTCTTTTGAAAATGTGTCTTTTGAAAATGTATCAACACTTCCCTAGCTTCCTAAACAACAGTGTAACAGTATGGTGGCTGGGGGCGGGCAGGGGGGCGCCACAGCGCTGCAGAATCTAACTTAACACTTGCTTAATATACAAAGTTATCATTATGAACAAATTTACTGTACTAGGTCCTCCCAGTAGTGCCCTCACAGCCTCACTAAGCTGGGCTACCAGCCCTTTAGCTATAGAGATCTGCACTGCCCTGCTGGCCAAGTCTACTCCCTCTCTCCTTCCTTGCAGAAACCAAGTGCCCCTTCTCATTGCTGACATCTTAATAGATGCATCCCTCTGGTTCTTCTAAAATGCTGGTTTAAATCTAGGAGTTTGGAAACCAGATAACCACTGTTTTTAAAGTTTTGTATAAGTAAGAGTAAATGAGGTCCGAGTACAGGTCCAAGATTTTCTTCTGAGTTCAGGCTTAAGCTTCAGTGCGGGGATATTGGTGAATTTTGCTCAGCAGCTTCACAGGCTCTTCCTTTGTCCTTGTTTCATTGTTCTCAACTGCACCCCAGATAGAAAATAATCGTTAAGAGAAAATGAATGGACTTTTGCAAGTTTTCCACAAAAGTGCCATGAACTTGAAAAGGAAAATTCTAAAATTACTTCTCATTACTAGAAATACATGATGTGGTAACATCTTTAATTACTACTGCTAATATTAACAAGGAAGGAAACTATTTTTTTTTTTTTTTTTTTTTGAGACGGAGTCTAGCTCTGTCGCCGGGGCTGGAGTGCAGTGGCCGGATCTCAGCTCACTGCAAGCTCCGCCTCCCAGGTTCACGCCATTCTCCTGCCTCAGCCTCCCGAGCAGCTGGGACTACAGGCGCCCACCTCCTCGCCCGGCTATTTTTTTGTCTTTTGTAGTAGAGACGGGGTTTCACCGTGTTAGCCAGGATGAACTCAATCTCCTGACCTCGTGATCCGCCCGTCTCAGCCTCCCAAAGTGCTGGGATTACAGGCTTGAGAAACTATTTTTTTTACAAATTACTTTTCTCTCAAAAATAAAATGACTTTGAGGATAAACTATTTAAATCTAACACAGGAAAGGCATTTTTCCCCCAAGACAAATACCTATTTAAAAAAAAAAGACACACCAGATCTTGGTTTCTAAATACTACTCCCCAAGAAAGGGAACCAAAGCTCCTTAAAGGAATGCCTGATTCTAGGATTTGGACAAAGAATCTACAAGATGAACCTGGAGAATGTGATGGTGCCAGAAAGGAGGTGCAAAGAAAAAAAAAAAAAAGAACACCTTCACTGGGGGCAGTGGCTCACGCCTGTAATCCCAGCACTTTGGGAGGCTGAGGTGGGTGGATCATTTCAGGTCAGGAGTTCGAGACCAGCCTGACCAACATGGTGAAACCTTATCTCTACTAAAAATACAAAAAAAGTAGCCAGGCGTGGTAGCGCATGCCTCTAGTCCCAGCTGGGAGGCGGAAGTTGCAGCGAGCCGAGATCACGCCATTGCATTCCACATTCCAGCCTGGGCAACACAGCGAGACTCCATCTCAAACAATAACAACAACAACAAAAACTTAGGGATAGGCACAGCGGCTCATACTTGTAATCCGAGAACTTTGGGAGGTCAAGGCAGGAAGATAATGTGAGCCCTGAGCCCAGGAGGTCAAGAATGAGCCTAGGAAACATGGCTTATGAGATCCCATCTCCATACAAAATTTAAAAATTAGTTGGGTGTGACGGCATGTGCCTGTGATCCCAGCTACTCAGGAGGCTGAGGCAGGAGGATTGCTTGAGCCTAGGAGATTGAGGCTGCAGTAAACCATAATTGTGCCGCTGAATTCCAGCCTAGGTAAGAGTGAGGATTCGTCTCAAAAAATAAAATAAAATAATATTAAATTAAATTAAATTAAATTTTAGGGAACTCTCCCAATCTGAAAGAGCTGCCAACAACCAGGCTGCAAGTATTTGAGCAACAAAATCAATAGTGACAATGTTAGATGATAACTCAAAGAATAAAATAAGCACTTATGAGACCATACTGATATAAATAATGTATTAAATAAATAAATGGGGGAAGGGACATAACTTTCTAACAGAAGAATTTCAATTAATAAATGCAGAAGGAATGACGGAAATAAAAATATTAGAACAACATAGTAATAATTGCTGCAAAGAAGATTCACTGATGAATGATAAAATTAGTGGGTGAAGCTTTAAAGAAAAACAGAATATTTGCATAGCCTCAGAGTATCTTCCCTCCCAATATTTTATTAATAACTGTGGTGACTTTAACATATATATACAAATTATTTGATACTCCTCCTTCTGTGGGTGGAGTTTATTCTCTCCTCCCAGTGTGTGGACTGGACTTTAGTGACTCCCTTCTGATAAAAAAAAAAAAAAGCATGGTTATTCTTGACAAATGCTAAGACAGTAAAAGTGGCTGGGTGTGGTGGCTTACACCTGTAATCTTAGCACTTTAGAAGGTCGAGGCAAGTGGACTGCTTGAGCCCAGGAGTTTGAGACCAGCCTGGACAACATGGCAAAACCCTATCTCTACAAAAAAACACAAAAATTAGCTAGGCATGGTGGCACATGCCTGTAGTCACAGTTACTTGGGAGGTTGAGGTGGAGGATCACTTGAGCCCAGGAGGTCAAGGCTGTAGTGAGCCAAGATCACGCCACTGTAACCCAAACTAGGTGACAGAGTAAGACCCTATGGCAAAAAAAAAAAAGAGAGAGACAGAATGGATGTAAAGTGTTCTCACCACAAAACACAAAAGTGATAACTGTATGAGGTAATATATATGTTAAGTAGCTAGATTTAGTCATCCCACAATGTATATAATACTTCAAAATAGCACGTTGTATATGGTAAAATACATACAATTTTATGTCGATTAAAAACAATAAACTAAAAAAAGGAAAAAAGAAAAAAGCGTGGCAAGCAAAAATAGTAACTTTAAAGTGAAGAAACTTGGCAGATATCATCTTAAATGAGCCAGTGATCAAGGCTAGCATAGCCAATAATATATCATGTTGCTATCATGTACTTCCCTGGTATGATGCAATGAGAAGTACACAACATCACTTCTGCGGTATTCCTGCGAAAATCGCACAGTCTCAATCTAATAATAAGAAAAGCATCAGACAACTCAAATTGAGGGTCCTTCTACAAAGCATCTAACCAGTACTCTTCAAAAGTGTTAAGGTCATAAAAGACAAAGAAAGACAGGTAAGTTGTTGTAGACTGGAGAAAACTAAGGAAACATGATGAGTAAATACAATATGGTATCCTGGACTAAATCCTCAAAGAGAAAAAGGATATTAGTGGAAATGCTGGGAAAATCTGAATAAAGTCTATAGTTTACTTAATCGTATTGTACCAATGTTATTTCTTAGTTTTAATGAAAGTACCAAGGTAATGATAATGTAGATATTAACATTAGGGGAGGTTGGGTAAAGTGTATATGGGAACTCTGTGTACTATTTTGCAACTTTTCTATAAATCTGAAATTATTTCAAAATAAAAAGTTTTAAAAAGAGACAATCTGATATGGTTACTTAGTTGTGGCAAAAAGGTCACAAACATCTAAGCCACAAACATCTGCGGGGTCACTTAAGGTATATTCCTAATATTTTGATTTAATGATTAAGAGGATTTTTTCATACCATAACAATGGGCAGGAGGACCCTAGAGAAACACTTGCACATGTGCACTGAGAAAAATGCAAAATAACATTCATAGCATTTTTGTAATAAAAAGCTTGTATCCCAAATATCCACGAGCAGCAGATTCAATAAGCTGTAATATGTTCATATAGTAGAATACTATATAGCTATGAATAGGAATGAACTATAAACACAACCTTTTGATGTATCTTAGAATGTAGTATTTTTAAGGGGGAAAACTGGAAAAAAAAAGCAACAAGTTACAGTATATAAAGGAATAGGACACTCAGTGGAAAAGTATTTTCTTTGAAACAGCAAGAAAATGATTGACCCAAAGCTCAGGATAATTTCTGCAGTGGGTGGAAAATGGAAAATGAGGTAAAGGTATCTGAGAGAGGCACACAAAAGGCTCCAAGAGTACAAGTAACCTTACATTGTTAAGGTTGAGTAGTGGGTACTAAGTGTTCCTTGTATTGTTTTGCTTTATAACTCATACATATTTAAATATTCTTTAGTATATATTACATATATATTTGTAACTACTAAAAGGGTAAGGGAAGAGGTTCACCTTTTAACATATAGCACATCCTGCCAAATAAACAATGTATTAGGTGCTAAAATTTTTTCCATCTCTGTAAATTCCAAAATTAAAAGGTTACATTCATCTTTCTTGAATTAATCTAGAAAACAGCAATTTCTAAAAACCAATGCAAAACGTATTAACACCCATTCAGAATCTACAGGGTAAAACAAGCTTACCTAATTAATGAAGTCTAATGAGAAATTTGCCTTCTCCATTTAAAGGAAAGAACGTTTCCTCTATCTTTATTGCCATTCTGGGGTAAAGTATTTTCCCTTCACAAAAACAAGAAGTTTGTCTATGCTGGGAAAGATAAAAAAGAGAAACCCATTTGAGTTGCCTCAAATAATCGTGAACACTCTTGCCTCCCTTACAGCCAGACCAATGTTAACTTAGTACTCTAAGTAAAAATGTCTTCCGATTTTGAAATATTTTCTGCATCTGTTTTTCAAAAGCCCCAAGTTATTGATAAAAAGCTCTCAAAATTTAGAAATGTTAAAATAACATATTTAACTTTTAAATAATATACTTAAATAGGATCATAATTTAAAGCATAATTTGGATTTTAAAGAAAATAAAAAGTAGTTATTCTGTCAGTGTAATTACTCTGACATTGGTACCCTGACTTCCTGAAACTAACTAAAACATTCCTGCCATGATGCCAGCTTCCTAGTCAGGCTTTCTGAAAGAACTAAGGTAGCTCAAGTTCCCCCAGCTGAATAGAAGCCAAAATATGAACCACTGCCACTTCTGTGCAGTTGTAAGCAGGATAAATTGCTCATAAATCAAAGCTGTCTTTATTGATCACAATGACAACAACCACACTAGCCAGATGGTCAGTCTTCAGGGGTCAGGACATACTTTTAAGGTAAAAGGAGCTTCAAACTATAGACCCTGGAAACAGACTTCTTGGAACCACATTATCCTTAAATAAATAAACCTCAATTTAATAAAGTAAAATTACAGATAGTCCTAAGAAATACACTTGACTATGCAAGTATTTCCAAAATGACCACAGCAAATGTTCCTGGGGTTCCTCTTCCCTATGCTCATTTCTTTATTTCTCCACTGAGTGCAGGCTTATCCCTGCCACAAGCTTTACCTTCATAAATCATTTTGTTTATTATTTCATGAGGGTAAGAGTGGTATTTGTTTTGTATACAACTTACTAATTTGGAGTCCTGTAAATATTTAGTAACAACAATACTAATCTTGATTATGTAGATCAAGCATTCATAGTACCATGAAGTATAATCATAAATTCACCACCAGGAAATAATTTAAAAAAGAAATCCTCACCAGTGGCTATTCTATCAGAAGGCTTTATTAACCATGTCTAGGAAAAATGTGGCAATGTGGCAATTCAATGAAGTGTATACTTTTTCGTGGCCCTTACTTGGCCTAACAATTATTTATTTTTAAATAAATCACATAAATGAGAAATCATTTAAAGCAAGAGTCTCTGGAATGCATTCCCATCTGGTCCCAGCCCTTCCCTTTCCCAGCAGAATGGGAAGACTGATGAGTCACTAACAAACCACCCACAGCCATCTATTTTTCACTGCCTTCAGCAGTACCCATTTCATGTGTGGGGCAAAGAAAAATTTGAACAAATCACCATTCTTCTTCCCACCTTTCCTACTACTGCCAAATTGTTGGAGGGGAAAATGAGTGGGAAAGATTATCCAAGAAGAGCAGAAAAAAAGGCAGGATGGAAAAAGCAGACTGAGGATGTTGAAAGGCTCAAGAGGCTCCTGAACTGTTATTATATTGAATTTCTAAGAAGAGGCTGAGAAGTGGTGGTAGGGGTATATCAATTTGGAACACATAGTTTTCCTAAAAAGGAAACTGTCCTTTCATTCCACTGAAATACTGTATTCAGCAGGGTCAGTCCAAAATTGTTCAACACCCCAACCTATCTCTATGCCTTTCGGGTTAAGCTGGCAGTGAAGTGACTGACTATTCATACATTCAGTCATCCTTCCTTATTAGCTACTGCCTGCTCACACCTGGAGATCAACTGGAAACAGGTGTTTCACTCAGAGTGCCTTCCCATCTGCTTAACCTTGTTCCTGCCCTAAGGTACCTACCCTTACAAGGAGATGGGAAAAGAGCATAAAGTGATGGAATGGGTGCCCCATCAAGCTTTGTACAGTCAGTCTTACAGTAGACTATCAAACCCAGTTTTGTTGGGCATGTGACTTCTGGAACTATGACAACAAAATCTCAGTAGAACCAAACTACCAAACACCTTTTGAGGTGCAGACTGATATAATTTTACCAGAGAATTATGAAGCGGTACATATGGCCTTATTCAAACGTAGGCTGTTAACAATTAAATTTAAAAAGTATTTCTGGGTACAACAGTATGCATCTGTAATCTCAGCTACTCGGAAGGCTGAGGCAGGAAGACTGCTTGAGCCCAGGAGTTCAAGGACAGCCTGGGCAACATGGTAAGACCCCATCTCTAAACAATAAATTTAAAAATATTAAAACTCTGGAAATAAATTTAAAAAACAAATTGCTAAAAAAGTTTTATAAGCCTAATAAAGAATGCTTCATTACATACCTTTCAGTAATATTAAACATGAAAGTCAATGTGTGACCTCTTTAAGCAAAAAATTGGGCCTAGAACGCAAACAAAAGTAAATGGTTTTCTCAGCTTCAGAAATAGGATGAGAAACCAATGTGACTATAAAATAGTGGGCATCCTACTGGTGTGGGTATTTTCTAAATTACTGCTCTATTATTAAGATGAACCCAGGACTACACAAAACACTTACCAGGAGTCAACATTCTTAGATGTAAATGCCCAACAGGAATCGTATAGGATGGCCAAAGGGCTTTAAAGAGGGAACGGAGATGCTGTGATTACAAGGACTACCAGGGCAATAGCGCTACCATTTTGTGAGGTTTGCCAGCAGGTTCTCCTTGCAGGCAGCATTACAGCTAAAAATGTCAAAACATCCTATATATACCTATTACTTTCTATTGCTACTGCAACTGTGATTTTTTTCAGACTACTTCAGTATTTCTAGTCAAGGCTACTCTTTTTTTTTTTTTTTTTTTTTTGAGACGGAGTCTCACTCTGCCACCCAGGCTGGAGTGCAGTGGCCGGATCTCAGCTCACTGCAAGGCTACTCTTAACTTTCACTCCCAACTATGGCCTTATCCTTTCTCTTCATTCCTAAAACATGCTTTAATCTTCTGCATAGCAAATAAATCTTCTTATCATATCCCTATATATTTCTTGGTTCAGTGTGTTTATTGTACCGTCCCTAAGTGCATCAGATCAGAACCAGTCTGTCTCTCTCAGGTTGCAAATCCTTTCAGAATGCGTAGCAACACCATTATCATCTCCCCTCCCCCAAACAGGACATGTATATATTTATATACATTATTTCATTTACTAGAAAACTATAGTATTTGATAAAAAGAAAAATTAAGTTTTATTTTAATGAAGTAGCATTGTTATTCACAAACCAGGGAAGAAAATGAAATAATGAACAAGAAGGAAACTAACTTAATATAGGCCTATGTTCAATTGTATAGAATGTGATATTCTGAAAAGTGATTTTTATGATCTCACTTGACCCACAAATCCAAATATATAAAGAAGAAAAGACATGGGTGACAAGAGTCATGTACTGTGTTAAGTGCTTTTCACATCTGAAAGTTTTACAACTCAATAAAATACATATTATTTTCCCCCTTTGGAAAATAGGAAACTCAGAGAGGCTATGACGCTAATGTGCTATGGAAACTGGCCCAATTGTCCCATAGAACTGATGTTTATGGTTTCTTTTGAATAAACACAGAAATTGATCCTCCCAGTCTTAAAACTTCGGAAAGTTAAAACCGTCTTATCTGAGTTCCTTTCTCAAGAAACTAACCATCAGGTCTCCCAGAGAGTCTCAAAGGAACTGTAACTTAACAGATACCACATCTGGATATGAGACACCAGACCCCTCACCCATTACAATTGCCTAACTGACCACCTGCTTCCTGCTGACCAACTCCTCTTTACTCCTCCCTAATTCCTATTTTAGCACACATGGTTACATTTCTTCCCTACTATATAAACCCTTAATTTTAGTACATCAGGGAGACAGACTTGAGACTGATCTCCTATCTCCTTAGCTGCAGCACCTGAGTAAAGCCTTCTTCCTTGGCAATACTCACTGTCTCAGTGATTGGCTTTCTGTGCAGCTAGTTGCAAGACCTAGAACAAACCCCTAGCATGTCAGTAACAGATTTTGATTCCCTGACCTGAACATGTTGCTTGCTGGTCAGCTGCTGCAAGCCAGGAGAATTCTTAGAACACCTCCTAAGAAGTTGCCCGACCCTTTTTTGGCTGGAGGTGGGTTTTGGTCTCTCTCTTTGGCCACACTGCTGCCTGACAGCCTAGAAAAAAACAGCCTTTGAAATCTGACATCTATGTTCAGATGAGTGAGTGTCTTTTGTGGATACCAGCAGCTGGATCTGCTCCTCTGAGAAATTCTGAAGGAATTTCTGTTTGCAGGTTGAACAAGCCCAACTGACTGAGAGAGGAAAGCAACCTTTCTGTTTCAGTTTGGACACTCTTGGGGCTTGTTTGTTGCTGCAGCAGTTGGTTTGTGTTTTGGTAATTGTTTGTATGTGTCTTGATACAGTTATGGGAAATCAGAATTTGATAAACTTTTTAAATACTGTTTGGCCCCAATGTTCTTTGGAATCTGCATAAGTTAGGTCTCTCCTAACTTCTCATTTTGCTTGGAACAGGAAAGCAGGATGGAGTTCCATGTATCCAGGCTTTTATGCTGCTGTTCTAAGCAGGGTTGGGCCAGCTTAGTACATGATGTTTTTCTGCGCTGTGTTTGGCCCCAGAGTTCTTTTGAGTCTGAGGAGGTTTGGCCTTTAAAAATCAAACAGCTATGAAAACTGCTTTACCCAAAATTTTGGTTTATAGCCTTCACTGGATTACCTATCAGTGAAAATAAGGTTTAGTCATTTGAACATGTGTGTAGACCAGTGAGTTGGTATTGCTATCGCATGGCTAGGGTTCTGAAGTAAAAGCTATTGGATCTCTGTGTGTGTGTACGTGTGTACATGTTTAGAAGTGTTTATGTGTATGTACACTTATATGTTTTGTCTACCAAATTGGCTTATAAATAAAAGAGCACTCATAAATTAAGTAAATACGTCCAAGCATTTTCCAAGTTCATGTGACTTAAGTAAATCTTTAATAAACGAACTGGCTTTAAAATTTTTGTAAGACAAAAACAGAAACGTCTTCAGAATTGTTAGTATATATTTTTGTCTGGGTTTTATATTTGTCTCTGCTAGATATTGTGAGGTGCTGGGGTTTGGCACAGAAGGTTATAAAACTACAAACGCAGCCAAAAACAAAATGATCTTTGTGTGATTTTGTTGATAAATAAGATTAATTTAATGTTGTTGGTTTAATGAAAATGCCTGAATCTTCTGAGTTATTGGTGAGATTGCCCAATGTATTTAATTTGAACATTCTTACTTAGGTGAACATCTGATATTCACAGATCATAAAATAGTTAGCAAGGAACTGATGACTAGCTTTGTCTAATACCTCAGTTTTCAGAAGTAGTCTAGATAAACTGCTTTTAAAAGTGAAGGTACTGTGGGAGGCCAAAGTTGGTGGATGACGAGGTCAGGAGATTGAGACCATCCTGGCCAACATGGCGAAACTCTGTCTCTACTAAAAATACAAAAATTATCTGGGAGTGGTGGCGTGTCAGTAGTCCCAGCTTCTCGGGAGGCTGAGGTAGGAGAATTGCTTGAACCTAGGAGGTGGAGGGTGCAGTGAGCCAAGATCGCGCCACTCAGCCTGGCAACAGAGCCAGACTCTGTCTCCAAAAAAAAAAAAAAAAAAAAAAAAGGAAGGTACTGAGTACATGTAAATGTGACAAATGTTTGCATTGCTTTGTTTCACACTACATGTGTTATTCTGCCCAGACAGTACTAGCACCAAAGTACTTACTGGTCACGTGCCTTAAGTCAATGCCTTAATTGCACACAATGTATAGAGTTACGAGTGGATTTAAAGACATTAATATGCATACCCGGAACAAAATATCCATCATATGTGTTTCTAGGCTCTGGATAACACTGTCACCTCCAAGGTAAAGTTTTTTTACCTTGAGTATGAGAAAAATTTGGGGTTCATTTTCTGTTTATTTACTTTTGCTTTCAATTTTCATTTAGTTCCTGTTGTTCTTTGGGTTTTACTTACACATACACACATGCATGAAACCAATGATGTTTTTCAGTTTCTAATGAAAGGATTGTATTTGGTTCTATAAATAGTCATTTTGTTTCCTCTGCATTTCCAACAATTTGTCATTTGCTTTCAAACTTTAGTTGTGTTTACCATTATCAAAATTAAGTAACATTCACTTGGATTAAGTAGCGATAAAAATGTGAGACTTTGCACTTTCCAATGATTTTTTATCCCAAGCCTTTCATCACTGTTTGGACTTCAGGTGTATACTTTATAACAAAATATATTCAAATGTTGCACTGATTTGAGGATTCTAATGGTGAAAGTTACCTAATCAGTTGTCAGTACTGTATCTAGAAGCCAATCCTGGAAATGTATGATGATAATCTTTTAAAATAGCTGAAAAAAATTATTGTGCGCTTGTTCTCACTTTGTCCTTGTTTTGTTGTAAGTTCATTTATCTTCATACTGAATTTCCAAGACTGGTATTTGCATTAAACATTTTTTTTAAATGACAGAGAGAAAAGTTAATTGTCTTACTTTGATAAGTTTGGCACAGGACCTATCACATTTTTGATGCTTTTGGTCACAATTCTGTCACTAGAATGCTAGCAATTAGACATATGCAATGAGTATTGCATAAACTATTTTAATACAGTGGTTTGAAATGCTACAGGCAGCAACTACTAGACACCAAATCACAGTGTTTTAATTTGTGACATGTTAGAATGATAGGGCCTTCTGCAGAATAAATGTCCTATTAGCTAATCCTTTTGCTGTTAAGTTACAGGGTTTTGACTCATGGGTCTGAAAAAGGTACCCACTCCTTCTGATCTTGAACACTGACACTACTCAAAGCCTCGTCTTCAAACCTGGGAGAAGTACACGAAATGTACTGCTCTCATGAGACACAGGACCAAAAAAATTAAAGCTATTCAATCCCTCTAGGCCCAGGGAGTATCACAGAAGAGGTGGGTACTTGAGATTGTAAGGGCTGATTTTAAGGGAAAAGGTTACTTAAGAGTTTTTCTATAAATTAAACATTAATATCAAAAACACACTGATGCAAGGCCAACATCTAGGCCCCTATGTCGGAATAACAGGATTTTCTTGGAGCACTGATCTGCTCTTTAACAGAAAATTATAAAATATTAAAAAAGGTTTATGAAAGTCTTACCTTATAGTCA